ATAATTCAGGCCCCTGAGTGAGAGTAGACCATAGCAAGGGTGGAGGCAGAGCAGTCAGGTAGGAGACTACTGCTGTCATCCAGGGCTGGGCAATGATGACGGAGAGGACGGTGGCTTGAACCATAGTGGTGGTGGTCCCCTCCTGGATCCCAGGGAATGTCCTGACAGATTTGATGTAAGGTGTGAGAGAAAGAGGAATCAGGGTCAACCCTTTGGATTTTGGCCTGAGCAGCTGAAAGGTGGAGTTGCCATTCACTGGGTGGGGAAGACTGTGGGATGGACAGGTCTCTACTGGACACGGTGCTGTGCACGATGCCAACTAAAACCCAGACAGAGATGCCAGTCAACCACAGTGGATTATACAAGGCTGCAGTTCAGGGGAAGCTTGGGCTGGAGATAAGAACTGGAGGGTCAACAGCATTTGGATGGTATTTAAAGCCAGAAGTCCAGACAGGAGCCCCAAGGGAGTGAGCGTATTTAGAGAAAAAGTCTTAAGATCTGGGCTCAGGACTACATCATCAGGAGGAGAAATGGAGATGTCAGAGGACCAGGAGCAAAGTGAAGCTTGTTCCCAGGGAGGGAGACAGGTCAATTACCCCATATTGCACTGAGAAGGTCAAGTCGGAGGGTCATATGAGGACTGGGAATTAACCACTGGGTTTACTAACTTGGAGGTCAATGGTGAGCTTCCCAGGCAGTTTTGGTGGGGGCAGGAGGGTTTAAAATGTGATTGGGGGCCGACGCCATGGCTCAACAGGCTAATCCTCCGCCTTGCGGCGCTGGCACACCGGGTTTTAGTCCCGGTCGGGGCACCGGATTCTGTCCCGGTTGCCCCTCTTCCAGGCCAGCTCTCTGCTGTGGCCAGGGAGTGCAGTGGAGGATGGCCCAAGTGCTTGGGCCCTGCACCCCATGGAAGACCAGGAGAAGTACCTGGCTCCTGCCATCGGATCAGCGCGGTGCGCTGGCCGCAGCGCGCCGGCCGCGGTGGCCATTGGAGGGTGAACCAACGGCAAAGGAAGACCTTTCTCTCTGTCTCTCTCTCTCACTGTCCACTCTGCCTGTCAAAAATCAAAAAGAAAAAAAGATGTGATTGGGATGAGCTTGAGAAAAATGGATGGAAAGGAAGAGGCCAGTCTGCAGATTTCTTGTAAGGTTTTACCGATATTTGTAACACAAAGGGTTTTCTCAACGTGACACCCCTTTCTCTATTTTTTAGGATTTTTCCCAGAAACCTTTTATTTAAGTTATACAAACTTCATGCATTTCATAAGCACAACTTTAGGAACATCCTGATTCTTCCTACCCTGACCTTCCTCCCACCCTTCTTCTTCCTCCCTCTCCTATTCCCATTCTTCTTTTTACTAAGATCTATTTTCAGTTAACTTTACACACGTATGATTAACTCTTTGTTAAGTAAAGAGTTCAACAAATAGTATTAAAAAAAAACTGTTCCTCAATAGTCCAGACAAGGACTTTAAAAGCATTGCATCTCAAAGTGTCAATTCCACTGCTACAGTTACCTTTCAGGTGCTCTATTAGTCACCATAGATCAGGGAGAACATATGGTATTTGCTTTTGGGGACTGGCTTATTTCACTAAGTGTGATGTTTTCTAGTTGCTTTCATTTTGTTGCAATTGACAAGATTTCATTTTTTTCACCGCTGTGTAGTATTCCATGGTGTACATGACCCGTAATTTCTTTATCCGGTCTTTAGTTGGTGGGCTTCTGGGTTGCTTCCACATCTTGGCTATTGTGGACTGAACTGCATCTCTATTTTCATGAGAGCAAACGAGGCACCACTGAGTGGCAGGCTCCTGCTTTGGGGAACTGAGTGGCAGGTTCTGAATTGGGAATCTTCAAGAGGCCTCTGGCCTAGCCTGGGAGCATGCTGGGATCCATTCACAAGACCTGGGGCTGAGGCTCACTCGCTTTGTGACCCTGCACTCCCTGAGTTCCACTGTCCTCGTCTTGTGACGGGAGATGAGAGCCACTTCTTCACAGAACATATAACAGGTGTGATGGAGAACATACATGGACTGCCAGGCTTGGGGGCTGTTGGTTTGTGTCCAGGTGCCGGATAGGTTGGATTTGATCGCACCCCAAAGAGGCACACTTGTGTCTGAGGGCTTAGTTATTTTAATCTGCTAATTGCCTCTTTGCGTGAATTGTCGTAATTGTGTTATCCCAATATTTTCATACAACATATGCTTCATTTTGAAAAGGCTTCTGCTCAATTGGGCTGATTCCAATGGGTTGAGGTTTTGGTTTTTGGCTGAAAGGAAGGGACTTGGGCGTCACTTGGCCTTTGCTGGGGACCTGCTACGTGCCAGTACCTGTTCTGGGTGCTGGGGGCTGGGAGGGAGGTGGCAGTGAATAGATAGGAACAACAGGAGGCTGACAGACAGTGTGTTGGGAGGGACAGATAGGAAAATGCATCGGTAAGGTTTGCATCCAGAGCCTCGGGCTCTTCCTCTGTCCTGTGCTCAGTTACCACCTTGCAATTGAGGCTTCCTTTGGGCTAGGCACTGGTGACAAGCCAGGCTTAGCCCCTGCTCTCGTAGAGCCTGGGGGAGGGGACAGAAGCTGAAGGTAAGTAGAGTCAGAAATAATTCCAGGTGGTGATGAATCTATGGGGACACACACAAATGCTGCAGGGTGGAATGCAGGCGGGGCTCATGCCGTGGGGTGGGCAGGGAGGTTTGGGAAGGCTTCCTGGAAGAAGTGACTTCATGAGAAGGCTGCTGGTGGGACTGTGCTTTCTGGGGTGACACCATAGTCGATTCCCACGTGAAGGCGATCGGCCCCCAGACGTCTCAGTGGTCAGGCTGGAGATGGACATCAGCCGTGCTGAGAGTCAGGAGCATCCGTGGGTGAGGGTGCTGGGCCTGTGAGCTGCTGCTGACCCACTCTGTAGGGAGATCCTTTAACATCTCTGAGCCCAGGCAAGGCCAACAAGGAGAGCATAACCCCCTCCCCGCACCCCCTTGCTCCCACCAGATGACTGACTGGGTGCTGGCCATGGTCCTGAGCGCCTTGCCTGCATTCGTTCATCACTCCTCACAACAATGCAGAGATGCACACCACCTTCATCCTCTGTCTCCCAGATGATGAAACAGCCCGGACAGGGAAGTCGTGCTCCCAGTCACCCACAGGCAGTGAGAGGCAGAGCCAGGATGTCTGCCTCTTACCCGCTCCACCCCACTGCTGTCTGTGAGAATAGGGATGGTGGTACCCACTTTTAGAGGGTCCGGGAGGTTGAGTGAGATGCGTGTGTACAGCGCCTGCCCTAGCGCTGACTTCTATTCAGTGACTTGTTTGATGCTTGTACTGTGTGCCTGATTTTGCATCTGATTCTGACCTATGCTTTGGACACGCAGGAAGCAGAACTCACATCAGACATCAGAAGACAGTTAACTACAAGTTAATGAGCACCTCCAAGAAGCTTTTTTTGTTACATTAAAAAAAAAGATTAGTGGTCTATCATGTTTTGTTTTTAAGATTTATTTATTTATTTGAAAGGCAGAGTTACACAGAAAGAGGGAGAGGCAGAGAGGCAGAGAGGCAGAGAGAGAGAGAGAGAGAGAGAGATAAAGAGAGAAGGAGATATCTTCCATCTGCTGCTTCACTCCCCCAAATGACTGCAACAGCCAGGGCTGGACCAAGCTGAAGCCAAAAGCCAGGAGCTTCATCCAGGTCTCCCATGTGGGTGCACTCAGGTCATCTGCTGCTTTGCCAGGCACATAGCAAGGAGCTAGATTGGAAGTGGAGCAGCCAGGACTCAAACTGACACCTATATGGTATGCTGGCATCGCAGGTGGCAGCTTAACCTGCTATGCCGTAGCACCAGCCCATGGTTTATCATATTAATTGTATTAAAAGAGAAAAGTTGACATGATGATTGAGTCATCTCCTGGGATGTCCACATACAGTATCAGAGCACCTAACTGGAGTTCTTGGCTCCTCTACTTCTGGTCCAGCTTCCTGGGAAGCAGCAGGTGATGGCTCAAGAACTTGAGTCCCTGCCACCCGACTGGAAGACCCAGATGGAGTTCCTGGCTCCTGGCTTTGGGCTGGCCCAGCCCTGGCTGCTGTGAGCATTTGGGGAGTGAACCAGCAGATGGAAGATCTCTTTCTCTTTCTCTCTTTCAAATAGAAATGAAAGTAAATCAGTCAATTTTTTTTTAAGAATGAGGAAAGTTATTTGAGCCTTCCAATCGATACAGGGAAAAGGAATTTGATAAAACTGAAAATCCATGCACAATTTTTAAACAGCTGTTCACTTTGACAAGCAGGGAATTCCCTTCTAAAGACGACCTGAAAGAACCCACAGTGAACATTGTGCTTTCTGGTAAAATGTGGAGACATTTAAAATAAGGCAAAAGGCAGGGTGCGCTCTCACTGTTTCCACCCAGCATTGTCCTGGAGGTTCCTGGTCAGTTCCGTGAGGTAGGGACAAATCAACAGATAGGAACTGGAAAGAGAGGGGCCCAAGGAGCTTTGTCCTGCGGGAATGTTTGCAGCATTCACCAAGAGAGAAGGACCCAGAGGGACCCCATGGGACTGAGCGTTAGAAACCCACAAGACAAAAGCACCCGGCTGCCCCGTCAGGACCACCAGACATGGAGTCAGACACTCCTACTCCAGTCCCAACTCTTCCACTGTCCTCAGATGGGCCACTTTCCTCCTCAGACCTGAGTCCCCATCTGCAAAATGGGTGGATGTGGAAAGATGGGTCCCAGGTGGGCAGTGGTGGTGAGGAGTGGTGGGAAAGCAGAGAGGAACAGGTGAGAGAAGCCAGCCCCTGCTCTGCAGGGGGAAGGCTTTTGTGGGCAGACCCTCTCATGGGCCAGAGCCTCTGTTTGGGGCTGGGCCACCTAGACCCTGTGCCTTGCAGGAGGTCGTCCCTTCTCTCCTTGGCAAGGGGATGTTGTGACCGATGTTGCTGCTGTGTTCTGCGGGTGTAATGCACTGACCCCAGCATGCCCCTTTCACATTCTAGACCTATAACAGCCAGAGCGAGAGCAACGAAGACTATGAGATCCCCCCGATAACACCTCCCAACCTCCCTGAGCCACCCCTCCTGCACCTGGGGGACCACGAAGCCAGCTACCACTCACTGTGCCACGGCCTCGCTCCCAACGGTCTGCTCCCTGCCTACTCCTACCAGGCCATGGACCTCCCAGCCATCATGGTGTCCAACATGCTGGCCCAGGACAGCCATCTGCTCTCCAGCCAGCTGCCCACGGTGAGTGTCTGCCACCTGCCCTGGCGCCCGCCAGGTATGGCAGGAAGGGGGATGATGAGGGAAGCAGAACTGGTTGCTTTCATGGGAGTCTGCAGAAAGTGGGAGGTGGGTAGGGAGATTCAGTGACATCACATTGCTCATTCCAGGAGCTCTGTTTAAAGTGTATTAGAAGGGACAGGCGGTTGGCATGGGGTTAAGTCACTGCTTGGAGCTCCTGTATCCCATATCAGAGTGCCTGGTTCGGGTCCTGGCTACTCTGATTTTTATCTAGCTTCCTGGTTAAGCCTACCCTGGGAGGCAGCTGATGATGACTCAAGTGTTTTGGTCCCTGGCACCCATGGAGGAGCCCCAGATTGCGTTCTGGGCTCCTGACTTTGACCTGTGCCAACCCTGGTTCTTGCAGGCATTTGGAGAGTGAGACAGCAGATAGGAGATCTCTCTCTCTCTCTCTCTCTCTCTCTTTCTCTGTCTCCTGCCTTTCAAATAAAATAAAAATTAATAAATGAAAATTGAAAACATCTGGGTATAGGTTGAATATCGATTATCCAAAATGCTTAGGATTAGAAGTGTTTCAGATTTGGAGTGTTTTGGATTTGGGATGTTTGCAGACTTTACTGGTTGAGCATCTGTAATCTGAAAATCTAAGTACTCCAAGATCCAGAATGTGTCGAATGTCACGTTGCTACCCAAAACATTTTGGGTTTTGCAGCATTTTGGATTTTAGATTTTTCAGATTAGAGATGCCCAACCTACTATATGCTTTGTATTTGTTAACAGTGTAAGTTCATTTGAATTTTGGCTTTTAGTGTATTTACATGATTGTGTAACCATCAACACCATGGATTTTAGAACACTGACCATCCAGCAGAGATCTACCTTTAGCCATCACTTACAACCCACCCTGACAACACACAGCTCTAGGCAACCACCATCTACTTCATGCCCCTATGTAAACACCTATCCTGGACAGTTCATATAAATGGACCTGCATAGTTTTTAATAGCCAAATTATTTTAATGAGTTTAAGAGACAAAGGCAGAGAGAACTCCCATGCATTGGTTTACTCCTCTCGTGCCTGCAAAGGCCAAAGGACCAAAGCCAAAAGCCAGGAATTCAATCCTGGTCTCCCACATGGGTGACAGGAGCTCAGTGACTTAAGCCATTGCTGCTGCCTCCCGGGGTCAGCATCAGCAGGAAGCCGGAATTGGGGCAGGAGGTAGGCGTGGAGCCCAGGCACTCCCACCTACTGTCTCAGCCTTGTCCAGGAGGAGGCGGCCTTGCTTTTGTCAGCTTGTGTCATAGACACCTGTGATGGGGAGGAGGAGCCTCGGACTGAATTCCCCATGAGGGTGACAGGGTGGTGGCTGGGCTTTGTTCTTCTCTCAAGGGCAGCCCAGCAGCCACGGTGGGATTTGTGGCACCTGGGGCATGCCGGTCACATTTCGGCTCTTCTGTCGTTACCTCTGAATTCCCTGGCTTGAAGTCCCGGGTGTGGTCTGCGCAGTGCGTCGGGGAGGGGAGAGGGCAGTGAGCACCTTTGCCTGGTTTCTCCGGGGATGCTTTCTTTCTGGACCCGTCAGTCACGCAGAGATGTCGTGGTTCAGACTGCACAGCCCTGTGGTTTTGGAGTTTGTTTTGTTTGTTGTTTTGCTTTTAAGGTTTATTTGAAAGGTAGAGTAACAGAGAGGAGAAGAAACAGAGAGAGAGAAGTCTTCCATCCGCTGGTTCACTCCCCAGATGGCTGCCAACGCTGGACCAGGATGAAGGCAGAGCCAGGAGCTTCTTCTGGGTCTCCCACATGGGTGCAGGGGCCCAAGCACTTGGGCCATCTTCCACTGCTTTCCCAGGTGCATTAGCAGGGAGCTGGATGGGAAGTGTAGCAGATGGGACATGAACTGGCACCCATGTGGGACGCCAGCACTGCAGGCAGCGACTTCACCCACTACGCCACAGCGCCAGCCCATAGCCTTGTGGTTTTCACTTCACTTTGTTAGAAGGTTCTAGCTGCTTGCCCAGTTAGCATCTGTCCTAACAGAACCTCCCCTGCCCCCAGCTGCCCCCGTTTGGGATTTATGATAACACAAGCAAGATCAAGACCAGGCGGACACCTTTGTCAGGTGCTGTGAGGGTCACAGTTCAAGGTTCAAAGATGAGGATGGCTACAGCTCTAACCACAGGTCACTGGCCTTTGGCACTGGCAGATAATGGAGACTATGTGGGGTAGTGGTTAGTGCAGGCTCTAGCATACCCTGGACCTGAGTCAGATCCTGGCTCTACCTCTAGGGCTTGGATCTTCTTGCCTTGGAACCCTGGTAGTACCCACCTTGAGGTCATGGTGACATGTGTCTGGGGTAATGTATGTAAACTCTGAGCAAATGTCTGGCACAGAGTCAACAGTTGTTGCGTGTTTGCCATTATCGGTAGCAATAAAAAGAACTCCCGCTGTAACCGAATGCTAGTGCCTTTCCTTCCATCTCATTTACCCCAAGGAGCAGACTGCAAATCGTCTCCGGCACACTTGTAGACCATCTGCTTATCGTAGCTCCGACAATGACAAAGTATGTTATCTGCTTCCCAAAGAGGACCCCTGGCCGCCCCTCCCAGGAGGCACTGCTGTTGGGTGGTGTCCAAAGAGGCAGCTGTTTTCCAGATTTCTTTATAACTGGTCCATGTTTAGGATGCTTCGCGAATTTAGATAGCATTAATTCTTCCATTAGTCTGGCTTTGCAGAGGCTCGCTGAGTTTCACATGCCCTTGTTACATAATGAAAGATAAGCCAAACCCATTACCCAGGGGAGAGCACCGGACCTACTGGGAAAACGAGATAAGACCCTGCACACACACTGGGACTCTGGCAAAGAGGCAAGGGGCCCTTGCGGATGCGGTCGCAAATGCATCTGCACGGCAGGGTGCAGGGGGCCTGGCCGGAGCTCCTGTTACACCTGCTGGGGGGTGGAGCCCATACAGCAGGCCTGGCAGGAGTGCTGCTGTCCCGAGGCAGCGAGGCAGGAGACCGTGCCAGCTCTCTGTGGCCGCTCTAACAAATTACCCCACTTGGAGCATTTAGCGACGGTCATCCCAAGATCCATAACTTTGTTACATCCACCAAGGCCCTTTTCCCCGATGCCAGTTCCAAGGAGTAGGAGCCAGCATCTGTGGAGGCATTGCTCCCTGGGGCAGTGACCTTTGTCATGGCCCAGCCTCTACTGGGCGCCAACCGCGTCCCTGGCATTTTCTGGTCTTGGGTCCTACAAGACGCTCTAGAAGCTATCCTGGCGCACAGGCAGGGGAAGCTCATTTCCAGACACATGGTGGATGCTCTGTAGGGTCAGTGCACACTGCTGTGTGCACCCGGGACAGGTCCCTGACTTGGACATGAGGTCATCACTTCCTCCCTGGGGGCACTGTCCTTTTCAGGGAGGGGACGTGGTAGAAGGAACACAAGATTTCTCATGAGTCCAAAGACACAAAGTCCAATCGGTGCCTTGATGGCCTAACATGTAAAAGGCAATGCCAGTAGTACTGACAGGGTGCTCAGTAGATGTCTGCCAGGTTCTCAGCACGGTTAGGGGTTAGCAGACTGAGCCTAGGACACTGTATGGTCGCCACTGTGTAAAGCAGTAGATGGGGCTACTCCTTGGTATGTGAACTGATACCCTGATTTATGCCTAAGCAGCAACTCCAGGATTCAAACCCAGCCCTGTCCCTGCCCTCCACCTGTCAGTTTTACCAGGAGACAGGGCCCCAGGTGGCACACAGGAAGCCCTGAGGCCAGGGTGCCTCAGGCGTGGAGTGCGCGGACTGGGATGCACCCAGTGTGTGTCTGCGGAGGTGGTTAGGCTCAGGCACTTGACAGACATCTCGTGAAAGCCCAGCCTCCCTTGGCTGTGATCTGAGAGCCACCCATCCCTTGTGGTCCCCTGGCTGGCCCTGTCAGCCTCGGGGCCAAGTGTGGGAGTCGTCCCCTCTGCCTAAAGATGTGGCTGCTAGCGGGAATGGTGTCCAGGATTGCAGTGGGACCCTTTTCTTACAAAATTAAATATGCTCAAGGCTTCTCCCTCGACTTCAGCGTCTTAACTGATTAAACATTCATTTCCAAGACAAAAAGAGTCAATTTAGTATGAAAGATATATTTTGCCAGTTTAATTTAAAGCACTGCACCTCCATCTGACCCCTATTTTCATAACTCAATAATTTTATCCCGTGTTGATTGTCTCATTTTGAGAGAGATATTGTATGTATAAATCAGTTTCTAAAATACCCAAAGAAACTCAGAGAGTGGAATTGATTAAGCAGCTTCTGTGAAGTCTGAAATCCTTTATTTTGGAGTCGTCCTTGGGAGAGGTGGGAGCTTGGGGCCCTTCCCCTCCACGGGAGGAATTATCCTGGGTGGGGCTCAGTCTGACATTTCCAGGCAGGTTACTGGGGAAGCTGCACATTTTGTGCGATACGCGAATCTGCTGGTAGAGCTCTGAGTGGATGGAGGCTGGGCCTATGGGGCAATGAGTTCTGACGAGGACTCCCACATCCCACCTGTGGGTTCTGGGGGGCGGGAAAGGTGGGGTTTCCCTGAGCCCTGTGGGTCACTGGCACTGTGGGGTCCACGGGGTGGTAGCAGTATGGGGTGTGTGCAGACCTTGACTGCTGTTAGCTTTCTGTGGGACCTCTCCTTAGAGACGGCACTTCTGTCCCAGCCTCAGTTTTTCCATCTGTGAAATAGGGAGCAGGATTCTAGCTGCGGTAAACTCGCACATAGGACAACGGGCATAACTGCTTGTCAGCTATGGAATCCTGGCTTTGAGAGCCCATCGACGGCTCCCCACCACTCACACGTGCCACTGGCCAGGGTCTGAAACCCGGTCCCCCTGCGGGTCTAGGTCCGAGTGCTGAGTGGCAGATTCTTTGTGCTCCAAGTCACTGCCCCAGAACTGTCTCTGGGCAGAGAGGTGGGGTCCACGGTCCAGGGACCCCACCCCCACCCCAGCAAAGGGCATTTCCAG